TTGGGAGGTTACCGTATCAGTCTCTATCCCTATAAACAATATTGTCCCAGGGTCTAAACCTGTCCCATATATTTGAAACCCAAATAAATTACCATATTTATCTAAGAACTTGTCAGGGTTATTTATAAGTATATGGATTGGATTGCATTCCATAGACTTACAATATGGATTAGTAGGCAACTTAGTCACAATCATGTCCTTGTCTGCTGTCTGTCCCCAAGTCGCCCACCCTACACAAGACCAATATGGGCAGAAGTTATAATCTCTATTTGGGCATCTTGGACTTACATATTTATTTTTACTACTGGGACAAATATATTTATCGTTAGACCCATACGTCCTTTCCCATCTAAGATCCCCACATACATTCCACGGCTTTCTACCACTTGATATTGCTTTACACGCATCAAATAGCAGAGCACCTGAAGAATATACGGATTCTAATACCGTCTTATTAATTAGGGTCCCCTGAGGATCTCCATTTCTGAGAGTCAACCAAATTGTACGGGTTGATACTCAGGACTGAAGCACTTAGGTTCTCCTACTCCTAAATGACACACACTATATTCTATATTTAAGTATCTACATCTTGATACATCTCCTTTACACTCATATTGTGAATGCCAAATTAGGGTCTGGGATATATGGTTACCTGTTCTTGTAGTCTTAATGCATACCTCACAGCTAGGAGTGTCGGTACCTCTACCTTCCTGAATATAAAAATACACATAAATAAACATTATTAAAAATACATCTTTCGTCGTCATCCTCAGTCTTCGTCCGTGTGAAGGCACCTTAGCTTCCAGGATGTAAGGACTGTAGGGAATGGAGTTCTGCTCGTCTTCACAGGGGTCCCCTCAAGACTTTCCCTGACTTATACACTCGTTGGTGAGTGGACAGGCTTTATTATGGCCTTCTCACTCACTTACCAAGTCTCTGAAACAATAAAATTTATAATCTACAAGGTTCCTCGTCACTCCGACTGAGTCGTGCGTTTTAACCGGATCTTGCAGGGATTCTCTGGATTTGCTGTAACTTGCCAGGAATCGGCTGCTGCTGGTTTAACCCTGGAGTGATGTATCCACGGAGCCACTTCGGCTACTTTTTATCGCTGTAGGGGTAGACAGAAGAACAACATAAGGACCTCTCCACTTGGGCCCTAACGGCACATTATTCCACTCTTTAATCCACACTTGGTCGCCTGGGTGGTAACTATGAATTGGGGGATAAATATTCACAGGTAATCTATCTTGTACCCATTTCTGTACCTCCTCCATAGTCTTACCCAACTCCACAACCTGCTGCCGGGTAATTCCTTCTCCCAACTGACTCAAACCCCCCCTTAAGTTACCAAGCACGGGAGGTGGTCGCCCGTACATGATTTCAAAAGGAGAGAGGCCCATCCTTCTGGTAGGTGTACTACGGATTCGCAATAGAGCTATGGGCAAGAGAACGTTCCACTTAAGTTGGGTTTCCTGACACATTTAGCCAACTGATTCTTAATAGTTCTATTCATTCTCTCTACCTTACCAGAACTCTGGGGTCTATATGCCGTATGAAGCCTCCACTTTATACCAAGCATAGGAGTCAATTGTTGTAGGCACTGATGAACAAAAGCTGGACCATTGTCCGATCCTATAGAGCAGGGTAGTCCATATCGGGGTATTATTTCTCGTAGCAGGAATCTCACGACTTCTCCTGCTTTCTCTGTACGAGTAGGACATGCTTCTACCCAGCCTGAATAGGTGCACACCACTACCAGCAGGTAGCGATGTCCACCCGATTTAGGTATCACTGTATAGTCAATTTGTAAATCGGACATGGGAAGTCCCCCCATAAACTGGACTCCTGGTGGCTTTACTGGTCCTTGTCTTGCATTATTTTTAGCACACGTTACACATCTACGTACAATGGCCTGAGTCAAGTTGGACAATCTTGGTATGTAGAAATGTTTTCTGAGAGATTCTTCTGTACTGTCTCTCCCAGACTGTGTCCCGTTATGATAGTTTTGGACAATTTCTACCGCTAGTGATGCTGGAATAACTATTCTTCCATCTTCTAACTGATACCATTTGTTCTCCAAATACTTTCCAGGTTCAGTCCCTAACCACTCCACTTCCTGAGCTGTATAAATTGGAGTCCATTGAGACAGTGGAGCTGGTATAAGAGCAGCTATATGCCCCACATATTCCTGTCTTCCTGATTCAGCAGCACGCTTAGCTGCACTATCTGCCATCTGATTCCCTTTGGTTACATCACCATCTCCTCTCAGATGCGCCCGACAATGTATAATACCGAATTCTTTCGGCTCCCACACTGCTTCCAATAGTTGTAGGATCTCAGCTGCGTATTTGATTTCTTTGCCTTCTGAATTCAATAGTCCTCTTTCTTTATACAAAGCTCCGTGGGCATGAGTGGTTAAAAACGAATACTTGGAGTCCGTGTAGATGTTCACTCTTAAACCTTCAGCCAATTGTAACGCTCGTGTCAGTGCTATCAATTCTGCCTTTTGTGCTGATGTTCCTTTTGCCAGTGGCCGAGCTTCTATCACCTTGTCTATCGTTGTTACTGCATATCCTGCATAGCTGATCCCTTCTTTTACATAACTACTGCCGTCGGTGTAATATTGAACATCAGGGTTCTGGATGGGAAAATCACGAAGATCTGGTCTACTTGAAAATACTTCATCCATTACTTCCAAACAATCATGTTGACTTTCAGTAGGTTGTGGCAAAAGGGTAGCTGGATTTAAGGTATTTACAGTCTCTAAATGCACTCTTGGGTTTTCACACAACATTGCTTGATACTTGGTCATACTGCTGTTACTAAACCAATGATTTCCTTTGTAATCCAACAACGTCTGTACTGCATGTGGAACTCGTACATAAAGTTCTTGACCCAGAGTGAGTTTATCGGCTTCAGCTACTAGCAGGGCGGCTGCAGCTACAGCTCTTAGACAAGGTGGAAGTCCGCTGGCCACTGCATCCAGTTGCTTAGACATGTAGGCAACAGGTCTTTGCCATGATCCCAAGTACTGTGTCAATACTCCCACAGCCATTCTTCTTTGCTCATGTACATACAGGTAGAATGGCCGTGTGTGGTCAGGTAGACCTAATGCTGGGGCACTCATCAAAGCCCTCTTCACATCTTCGAATGCCGTTTGCTGTTCTTGAGTCCATAAGAAGGGGTCATGCTCTGTACCTTTGATAGCTGCATACAGAGGTTTTGCCAGTATCGCGTAGCTGGGAATCCATATCCTACAGAAGCCTGCTGCCCCCAAGAATTCTCGCACTTGTCTTCTAT